AGTTTCGTATTCGAAGAAAAAATTTGGTCATTTATAATAAGTTTTACAAGAATATTAGTGAAAATAAATTTGATTATCAAAATAATAATTATAAAGTAGTAATTGAAACAAAAAAAAGTCAAAAAAAATATGTTTGATGAGGATTATATTTACTCATATGGTATTATATTTATTAGAAAAAAATAATAAAAAATTAGATTAATATAAAAATTTTTTCATTTCCGTTAGAGGAAAAGGGTATATGTGAGCCATTTGTTTACAAGTAGGAAAGATTTTTTTATGGTGGAGAGTGGGGAGTGAAAAGACCAATGCAGCAGAGAAGGACTACATGAATCGGAATCCGCTTATTAAGATTAAGACAGACGACCGAGAAAGAAAGGCTCCGCGTTCGAACATTGGTTGATCTTAGCTTAGCGTGCTAGCCGCTGCTTCATTTCGTATAGTGATAACGCTTTCTCTTTCTTAACGCTCCGCCCCCCTTGTATAGTAAGGGCTACTTTGGTTGCGCGGCTTTCTCTTCTAGGGTGACTTGACTCAGCTTGACCTACTTGACTCAGCGATTAGAGTATCGCTTTCATACGGCGAGAGTCATTGGTTCAAATCGTATATATGAGCCACTTTCATAACAAGGTGTATATCAGCTCTAAATGACAAAGTTGAGGGGTATATCAGACCCTTTTCCCTAGATTTAAACGGACATATAGACACAGTGCACTGATTTTGAACAAAATTTAAACTTAAGATAATGATATATATTTTACATGTTTCCATTTTCATGTATGAAATATTAGTGCTATAGTTAATTGCGCAATTCTATTACTAGTTCTTTCTTACGAACTTGTTTCACATTTATCAACGTTTTCTCTTATCTATCTAATAATAATAAGTGAACTTAGAACAGTAAGTGGATAACATTTTACTAGATTATGCAGTTTCAACTTTCAATTTTTAACTTTTGTAGTCATATTTCATATGAAAATTCTAATTAATTAGTTAACGTTGTTAATTAGGGTTTAAAAGCTCAATTAAACTTTAGTCAGTAATAGCAACCAAGATTTAATTAATTTGTTACTTATTGCTTTCAATTGCCTCATTTGATCCTATTGCTAGTAGAGTTTCTAAATAACACTCAATTCCGGATACTAAATAAAAAAACACCATTGAAATTGATATCTATATAAAATTACCTAATATGCAACATGAAAGTAATATGTCAAATTGGTTAAAGAAAATTATTGGCCACATGAAAATTAAAATATCAAAATTGCGGGGAAAACTGACAAAATGGTCTCTTTTCTTCTGTACTACTAGGTTTAATTAATTTTTTAGGTATGACTTGAGCTATTTTGAACATTGGAGGAGTTGATTAAGATAATATGAGACATTTGACTCAAGTTGAGCATGATAAAATCGCTTTTAATAATTAAAAAAATGAAGTGAAATATTATATTAAATAAAATGGAGAAAATTGTAATAGCAATAATAAATAATATGATGATGAAAGCAAATTTCATAGCACCAATAATAAGATCAAAGATAAGTGGAAAATACTCCTCCCTCCTTTCAATTGCCCATGCAGCCAACTGCATTAACTCCGTCATACAAATATAGAGGTTGTGTTAAATATTTCTTTCATTTTAGTAAAATAGAAATTATACAACTATCTATGGTGTTATTTACTAAAACAACATAAAACATGAGAGAAGGGTGATTATCCTTAATTGTCGAAATATTATCATTGAGTGTACTACTATTCATAGTATACTAAATCATAATATTGATAATTTTATATCTTAATTTCTGATATTGTGCATAATATTTTGAGGAACAGTTTGTATAGTGATTAACTATAGTTATTCCAACTTTTAATAGATCGATGACCATTTAATTAAGAAATTATATATCACTCATCAATCGAAAGATGAATTTTTCAGTAGTAGTGATTTTTGTGTTACTAGGGTGAAATTTTTGCAATTTTCTATTAGAAAATCTAATTATGTTACTTTAATAAAAAAAGACATTATAGATTATACTAGTTGAAATAATTTAATCTATGATCATTATTGAAATTTAAGACAAAATATATAATTAATAATGGATTTACTGCTTAAGGTCCCTGCAGAGGAAAAGTTTTATCCCAAAAAATAGGAAATTAATATTTGAATAATGTCATTTTTACTACTCTTTTTTAGAAAGCCAAACGTCATTTTCATTTTCTTGATTATTGTAGCATTTGGACCATTTCTTAGAGAGCTCGTGAGTTTTATGAATTTACACGCTGAATTTATCAAATCTCGAATCATTTAAAAATAGATTTTGAGAGAATTTAAAAATCTTTTAAATTTTGTTATCCTAGCTTTAAAATCAATTGTGGAGGAGTTGAATGAAATGAGCCGAAGATATTGAATGAAATAGCTTTTAAAACCTCATAGTAATTTTACTTCAACTTAGATAAGTAAAGTAGGAGTTGAACGCAATGAGAAGAGTTATTTTTTAATGAAAGAAGCCACAAAAATACTATAGTTATTAGAAATATGATCCTATCTGTGTCAATAAGATTCAATATTTGATATATACGTAAAATAAAATTTTAACCCTACATATACAATTGTAATTTTTTTCTCTTTTTGGGTCTCCATTCACAAAACAAGGTATAAATACAAGATATTTGACTTTCATATTGACTCATCACCTACAAGCTCTTTATGCACGGTCCTAAATTAATCTAAGAGTGTCAATTAGGCGGAGTCCTTCCAAAATCGGATCGAAACCAATAGTAGCTTTGATTGGACCAACCCAAGACTTGTGGGTCGTAAAGTTTCAGTTCACCTTGAAGATCTGGAACCGACCGAGCACAAACCATAATCGATAATCAAAATCGATTGAACTAATACTATTTGTGATTTGATAGTACAAGTATAACAATCCGGCCTGATTGTTTAGTCTAAAATTTAAATTTATTTTTTCTCTTGGTTTTCCATTCGGTACCGGATCACACATTGGAGCTCCGACTAAGTTTGAATCGCGCTCTGCAGGACCCATTCAGGGGCGACGCTCCCAACAGAACTAACATTCATGAAGTGATTTAAAAAATACTTGAAAATTTTTTCTAAGAAAATACCAATATGGCATGAAACTGCACAAGTTAATCAAACCCAATAAAACTCGATTGTGTAGGACCCGGTAACCCCAACCCGATATCCAACCCAGAAACAGAGTGACCACATTCCATAATTAGTGAATGGGGCCGATTGCTCGACCCAATGTCACCCTTAAATTAATAAGTATATATTAAAGGAATCCCATAGTGTAAGATCTAAATTACGCCATATCCCTAATGATTTCAATATTTACAAAAATCCCTTGAAAAGGGAGGCAGTTAGATACATAGAAATTGTCTTGATACATTATACCTGATACACAATAAATAGATTGTTATTGTCGTAAAAAAAAGGAAAGGAATAATGTAAAATTAAATGTTGTGATATCAGTTTCCTTGATTCACGCCTAAATTATCCTAATAGGGAACATATTCACCAATTTGAAATTTCAAAATTACATGTTCTTCATCGAAGAAGATTTTTGAATATCCTTTGATATTCAAAAATTGATATTTTCTTCCAAAAAATAAATAAATAGATTCATGATGAACATATCAATTTTATCAAGACATTCAGGAATTTAGGTGAGCAAAGTGAATTATGAAGGTTACAAAAGTGACGAAATTGTTGTTGGACAATCAATTTCATTCTTGCATCTCAAAGCAACCATATCAGACGAGTTAGAGATAGAAGAGGACAGAAAAATCATTAAAATTCGATACACCGTGGAAGGTAATTCATCTCTGATGAAAATTAAGAACGATATGGGTGTTAGGCTATATTTAAAAGTGAAAAAAAATGAGTCTATATTTTCAATGTATCAAAGGTATAACAAGGGATACAAAAGATCTTGCACTGGTTGAATCAAGACATTGTGATTCAATTATATTTCAGAATGAGAAGTTACAAATGACATAATTGATTCAAACAATACAGATGTGAAGACATGTCAATTGTACAAGGATAAGGCACCATTGTGATGATGAAATATAAAATAAAGTACAATTTTTATTGCAAAGTAAAACGATCTTATAGACAAAGGTATGCGATTTTTTTTCTGCATTGTCAGTTAATGTATTTGAATGTTAAGATCTTTAAATGGTGATACATTTTAATTTTTAATTTGTGTGATACATTTTTTTAGAAGTTATGTAATGGATCTTTTATTTTTGTTTTGTTTTTGTTGATTATATGATACATGCATAAATTTTATAACAATTTCGTTGAAGCGTGTCAGTTGTCTATATTAGAATTCTTGGAAGAGATCTTTTTGATTATTTGGCATTTCAAAAATTTAAAAATAGCATCTTATACAAAAGACGCATCAAACTGGTTGTTTTGATATGCATTTTTTGGAACTAAATTTATCGCTTACTTTTTAATGTCTACGTGTTGTTTTATCATCTGAAATTATTTTCTCGATTTATGAAGTTCGAAGAAGATACATTGTTTATCTTGAGAAGAAAGAAGTAATTGTTGCAGAATTCAACTAGATGAGATTCCTTGCTCACATGCAATTGCGTTTTGAAGGAGAAATATGTTACATATATGTATCATTATTGCTCTGATTACTACAAATCTGATTCATTAGCAAAAGTTTATGAGGCTCAATATTAGATAAAGAAGATTGGTCGATTTCTAACAATGTTGTAGATGAAAGTGTGTCGCCACCTAGATACAAAAGATTGGTTGGACGATCAAGAAAAAGAAGAAAAAATGTAGATGAAAAAATAAAAGTAAACACGAATAGTTGTCGCCCAAAAGGTCACAAGAAAAGAACTTGTACTTTCTTTTCAAAAGTACAATGAAATCGTTATTTTAATAAAACATTCATGCTTTCTGAATCATTTTTAACGTAATCGATTATCGCTTTTATATTTTTCATAAATAAAGTTTATTACTGTGAATTTTGATTTTTCGATTCAATATTTAAGAGTTCTACTATTCTATTTAAGAATATGTTATGATTTGTGTGTTTAATTTTATTTTGGTAACAATTATTTATGACTTTTACTGATTCAATTCAAGAAATTTTTATGATTTATATGCAAATGTTATATTTGATATACATATATTTATGTTCAATTGTATCATATACATTGTGTAATGTATCATATACATCAAATCATAAATAACCAATTTATTATCAAAAAGGTATGTATCGACTGCTTAGATGATACATAATTTATACAATTTATTAATTTTTTCACTAATGTTTTGTTCTAATAACTATAAATAATGTATCATATACATTAGTATATCGTGTATCATATATATAATAACTCTTGTATCATATACATTATATAAAATTGTGTCATGAACCTTAAATCATATCTAACTTATATATTGATAATAAGACTTGAGTTAAAATTTATTTTAAGACCTTTTAATATATATATTTTTACAATAGATGTTTCAAATGTATAATTTTTAACTCAACAAGTTTTTCAATATAATTGTAACATACACTTCAATGCTTTAATATTTGAAATATTTTTGATACAATATATTGAATTGTTCCTGTTAGGGAAAAAAAATTTGCTCAAATTTATGTACATTTCTGATTGAGGATGATTTAATAATACTGTTTAATTATTAGAATTTGTAAATTTAAACAAATATACATTCTGAGATTCAAGAAATAGATATATTATTATTAAAAAGTCAGACAAAATAAAATTTTAGAGAAATACTCATACACTTATTTTAACGTATCTTGAAAATGGTAAAAACAAAAAAAACACTGTGTATCTATTGATACACAAAAACTATCGCATCATGGTCTGATGATGTCAAATGACCCCTAGACTTTGGTGGATTGTCATTATCACTAACATATCAAGCTTCAGCCTTTTCATTGCATATTTCCATAACTATGTTGCATATATTAAGCGGAGATAATCAAATACAAAATTATTATATTATTGGAATTTCTCGCTAAGGAATTCAGCAAACGCGGCCACAAACAAACCACAGTCCCTACAAAATGCAAAAGATACATTATACAAAATAAATTGAACATAAACATTAAAATAAAAGTTTATAAAACATATAGTGTGTTGCTTCCTTGGTGAATAATATCTTGTACATGCTCAACTAGTAAAGGGTGCTTTGGTCTCAAGACTTCCAGTTTTCTTGTCCTTATAAGCATCAGTCAGTTAGCTCCGAATGCTAAAAAATTGTCCTAGAGGTAAGTAGACAACATTAAAGATAAATTTTAAATGTCGTTCAAATAAAATTTTCTCCTTAATTTAGATGTTGAGTTGTAGACACGTATTAGCCTCTTTTTCAAAACAACAACAATCAATACCCAATGAAATTGTCCATCATAATTCACCGAATTGTAAACATAATCTACTGAGTGCCACGACAAGCAAGAATCTCAAAATCATTAACAATGTTCATCAATGACCGCTCGAATTCAGTTACAACAAACTCAATCCATATATACAACTTCAACTCTTCTGCAAAACACATGTTGTATGTTCAACCAAACCTTAAAGAATGTGTAGGAATTTATTTTATCTTGTATTTCACATACTATAATGAGACAAATGAACAACAATTATTGATATACAAAAATTAAAAACATGATACAATCTGAACACTAAACAACTGAACTTACAACGGTTATTATATTTGTGTCAGATGCATAATATTATCATTTGTGTCTATTACACATTATACCTAAAGAAACTTATTTTTTATTATATATGATAAGTCGGGATTGATACTTGAATAAAGAATTTACAATAGAATGTATGTCTTTAGTTGATAATAATACATAATCCTGTCTGTTACAACAATATTTACACATTGATACATTGAAAAGAACAATTAATTTTTTTTGTATAGTTAAATGAAAAGTTTCAGAATAACTAAACTATGTAATTTTGTATCATATATATAATATGTTAGTACTGATATATAATTAATTTCATTGAAATCTTACTGAATATTAGACTTTTATGTATTAAAAATAAATTATATATAGTGAAACATAATCTATATTGATATTCTATCAGTAATGTCAAATTAATAATTAAATTGAAGATTGAACATAAAAAATACAGAAATAGATCAGAGCTCATCACCTTAGGTAGATTAGGACGGAAAATTGAAGATGACATGTTTCTACCCCTTTTTAGGGGATTTTTCAACCTTCGCTTTTGAAGAAAAAGACACATTCTTCCTCTACTTCTCAATACTCACGTTGGCAGTTACAAGGGATCAATGCAATTTCATTGATCTATTCTCAAACCAACTTGCGTCTTCAAGGTCATAAACATGATTGGTGTTAGATGCCATTATCTAGGTAATATCTATACTGGAAAAGGGAGCATCATCATAACGAAACAGAATTTTGAATCAAGAAAAAAACCTATTGACTATGAAGAAAAGTAACGAAATTGAAATAATACCAGAAGGAATGAAAAATCGTTTGAATGGAGAGAGACATATCTTGAAATAAACTGATACGATTATGAGAGAGAAAATATAACGTAATTTGAGGAGTGAAAAGTGAAGGAGATAGACGTGAGTTAGGAGATGTGAAGTTATGTATCAAAGATATGGATTTCATAGAGTAAAAGAAGAGATTAATAAAATATTTTAAAAAAGTAGGGAAAATGGAAAATAAGGTAAATTAGGTTGTGTATTAAAGTAATTTTTTCAATTAATAAACCAAATACATCTTCTTTTACCAAGAACTTTTGCTTATTATTTTTTTCGTCTTAATTTATGTGATACTATTTGACTTTTGTACAAAATTTAAGAAAAAAATCATTTTAAAAAAAATTGTGGCTAAAAATATTCATGGATCATTTGTGTAGCTATAAATGAGTTCTTTAAGAGTATAAACAAAATTTTAAAGTTAAATATTAAAATGTTTTATGACCAGGAACAAACCGACCTAATATCAAAGGGTGTCACCAACACTACATCGTCAATTTTTTAAATATTATATATATAAATAAATAATCTAAAAAACAATACATGATTACTATTAAAATAAATCATAACTTCATAGGAAGATAACTAATCTTGCTCCGTTGGTTTGGCGCATGGCATGTGCTATTAAACAATCCACGTGAACTATAAATCATAAATTCTTATAATTGCATTTGTAAGAATTCAATTGAACATTCATATTTTTCTTTTCATCTTTTTAGTTCTAGTCGGAATTTTTTGAATTTATTCATTATTTTCTTATGAACTTAATTTTATGAAAATTTATTGTGGAAAATTGTTGTTTTTATTTATTTTTGTTTTATTAGTATGTTTTAAGTAGTTTTTATTACTATAATGTTGTTATATTTTTTTAATTGTTGATATTGCTCACAGAAAATCCTACGAACACCACTAACGATTGAACCTATAGGTCATTTCATTGGGATTAAAATTTTGTTAGTGAATCTTTAATAGCTGATCACGTATAAAAAAATAATTGAGAATATATTTATCACAATCCCACAATCTTCTCTGCACCGTATAAGCAAAAATGTAACATGATACTTCATCTTTTTATGGATTAATATTTGCTCTTTAATTATGAAACAAAAGGGCCCCTAAACACACTATCCAACAAGAGATATGTAATGTATACACAAATAATACAAGTTCGATATTAGTTTTTTTTTATCAACTACTTATGACGAATTATGTTTGAATATCCATACTCATTTGTTGGGGTTATATTGGTACATATTTATATTTAATTTGTTGAGTTAATCCTGATTCTTTCATAGGATATTTGTCTTCCTACCTCTATTAAATTTTAATTCATTCGTACAATAAGTTTTATTTAATAATTTTATTATATATATTTATATAATAAATTTCATATGTAGTTTAAGTTTAAGCATTGTTATTTTATTTATTATTTTACATATTATTTTGCAAAATTAGAAAAAAAGTAACAATAATATTTTTGTAAGATTAGGAAAAAGAATAACAATTAAGATCTCCACCCCTCCCTTAAAAAAAATAAAATATTGATTGAATTTAATATAAATAAAGATTTATAATTAATTTTTGTAATAAATGTATAAACTAGTTTCTCTTTATGAAATAATTTTAATATTAAAAGTACATTAATACTTGTCCTTTGATCGTAATTTAATTTTGAATAGCATTGTTTTACAAAGATTTTTCAAATACAATTGGATTATATAAAATATTTTTCAAATGAATTAGACAAACACAAATTATTTTTCAAAAATATGTTTCTGGAAGCTATTTTAAAAAAATGTTTTTGACAATAAAGTAGTTTTTAGCAATAATGACAAACAGACTCTTGTTATGGATAAAGATCCGGTCAAGTATAATTAGGTCAAGTAATGTTTAATGGCCTTATAAAATTCATGTCATGTGTACTATATAATAATTTATTGTTGAGATTCATTTAAATTATATACTCATCTTAATAATAAATTTAAATTATATACTCATATTAATAATACAAACAACAATGTTGTCAACTATTTATATTATTTTAAAACGTTCAATAAAGCAATCAAGTGTATCCAAGCTAATTTTTCAAGAAAAAAAATTAAGATTGACGGGTATGCGGATCGAAGTTGACGATAAGACTCAATTTGATAATGCAAATATTTTTAATCAGGTATATTGAATTTTCTTTTTCAATCTTTAGTTTTTATTTTTTTTGAAAATATTAGCTTAGGTATACACTTAATTGTTTTATTTGATAGTTTTAAAAAATAAAATATTTGACAACTTTGTTATTTTTATTATTAAGATGAGTATATAATATAAATGAATTTCAACCATAAATAATCATATAATAAATATAACATAAATCTATAAAGCAATTGAACATTACTCAATCTAATTATACGTGACTGAATCTTTATTCCTTATTTATAATGGCTAGTAAAGAAAAAAATTGATCGAAATCATATTTGGAGTGAATTTAAATATGATTGTGAACTTTAATAAGTTGTGCATTCTTTTCTTTCCACAAATAATAGAATAAAATCTACAATGTAATTAAAGAGCTTTGCTTCGGGAGAAATTATATTCTCAACACATTTTGCATTTCTAATTGTTAATTTTTTAAATATGTATGTTACTAAAAATATAGTGAATTAATATTAATTTATTTGCGTGCCTAAATTTGAAGACAATACTTCCTAATAGTATTAGTTTATTTCAAAAAGGATATGATATATATAATTACCATAATCTTGACCCAATATTCTGCTAATCTTTTATGGAAAAGAAATAAATATAAATATGTACTGATTTAGAACCACTCGACATATGACTCAAAAAATATATTTATTGGTAAAGTTGATTTTTATGAAAGTATTATCGGTGATTTTCATGATTTTTCTTTCTCTTGTAACTTTTTTCGTCTGATAGATTTGATAGAAAATGTTTGTCGAACATTTTAGTGATTTCAAAGTTTATATTGACGCTTTTAGAGCGGACCCTAAAAGCTGATAAAAAAGATTTGGTACGTACTCTACTTTAACAGTGTTCAACAAAGGCAAATAATATTTATAATGAAGTCTCAATTCAAATATTTTGATGCAAATGACTTCTTGGGGCGATGACTTCTACTATTGCTATTGCGAATGCTCCTGACACTTATAAATAAATATTCAATGAACATATCCTAATAAAATCAAAAGATAATAATTTTATGAATTTTATTGGTGTGACCATGAGTTTGCTAAATCAATTCAAAAATTAATATGTAATCAGTAATTCAGCATTCTCAAGGTGAATTTGCATATGATAATATATGGCATACTTTCTTGACCTTTTTTTTTTCTTTTTTCTTTTTTAATATACTCTATCAAATTTCTAATCATTCAATGAGTTAAAATATTGTCTTTGGCCTTCCTTATTTTATTCCATCTAATGGCTGATCATTTCAATTAGTTAACATATTTTCATATGCAATGTCTATGGGTCATTAATTTGAAGAATATAAATACTAATTTAATTTGTATTTAATATTTCCAATTTGTGAAAACTAATGAGGGGAAATGCTACAGAACTGTTTGATGAGACATTTTTGTGTGGGTAAAAAAATTTCCAAGGAAAACAAAATTTGTTTTTATCTTCATTTTAAGAAAAAAGATATCACATGTGGGGATTCTAAAACAGCTCTAAATATAATATATATTTTATGTGGAAAATATTAAAAATCACGAAAATAGCTTAAGGCCTGTTAATGATAATATCTTTAAAAATATGTCATAGATTAAAATGTATCTAGGAAAATATATTTATTGACCAGTTTTAAATTGAAAATATGTTTATGGAACAGTTTTAAGTTGGAAAATATGTTATTGACCGATTTTAAGTTAAAAAAACTGTATGACATCTACAAATTTCCTTTTTGGGAAAAAGCTTATTAAGGCAATATAATAAATATAATAAATGTCATAATTGGTATCAAAATAATGGCAAATGAAGAAGAAGTTATTAAATATTACTAGTAATTACAGGTAGAATAAAATAAATAATATGATGTATAATTATTATTGAGATATATTCATTATTTAGAGATGTATCACATCATCTTGTCTATAATTTATGGTAGTTTTTTTCTCCTTATGAGGGTGAAGATGAAGATAAATTTCTTCTCCACATATTCTTTAAATGTGTCACATGTATTTCTAATTAAATCTTTTGACTCATATTTTATATATAAGAGCTTGTTGAATTCAAGATTATATACCTAAATCAATTGAAATATTCTAAAGGACATCGTCATCGAAACTCAAACGGTAAGTATTTCCTTAAATGAGGTCATTTAAGATTGGCTCACACTCATAATTCAAAGTAGACGTGTTTGGAAATTCAACCACCAAAATATCATATATATAACCACGAGAACTACAAAGTATCATGCATGATATTCCCGTTTATTTGTGTATAAATTAAAGTTGAAATTTGAAAATTTGAGTTTATGAAATTAAAATATTTTGAAATTTGAATTTATGTTTGAACATACATTTTACTTGGAAATAAATTGAATTTTTATGACTGAAAGTGAAAGTTGTCCAAAAAAAGAACCAAATTTTGAAACTTCAATATTTTTCGAAGATAGATTTTCAACATTTAATCCAAAGTTTATGAACAAATAGTAGATTTAATTTCTTCATTGATTTATTAGGGCAAAATCTTAGGTCTACCTCTTTTGTCTCGTTCTAGACCGCATCATTAGATTTTTCAATAAAAATTGTATTTTGTGCCTAAACATTGAGTAGTTGAATATTGACATCTTGTTAGTACTTTAATCCCATCTTCTTTGTTTAATTTCTCTTTTTTATCTTGAATTCACTGATTGATTCTTAGCTCTATGTTAGTGCAACTCTAATTTCCCTCCTTGTTAATTGTGAATTTAAATCAAACGATTAGTAGTCTAAATCAAATAGAATTTCTAAAAATCCAATGTAATTTGAATACAAATTAAATTTCATTACTTTAGCAAAAATATTCCTTTTCACGACCAAAGATCGATAGACATAATTCTGAGTGTGAATTAATCGAGTTTCTCACAAATTGGACATATACAAAAATGTCATGTCTCTCTTTGCCACCCTGTTAAAAATGAATCTTTGACCTATAATTGATAGAGGATGGAT